CGTGCTTCAGCGTTGGATTCTTGGCGAGGTGGCGTTATTAGGCGCTCAGCTGTGTCAGTCGTAGTAGCTACAAGGTTAATGCTGTTTAGCTGGGACTTAGGTACCTGAGCTGTTTTGATTCTTGTTTCTTGTTCTTAAGGGAAAAGCATGTGGGGAGAAGTCACTTCTCTGCGATAATATGCTGTGACTTAAGTTTAGGCATCTGAGATGTGCTTTGGTAGTGTTACAGCAAGATTTTTAATTTCACAGATAGCGTTGCTCAAAACTTCAATTAGGAGGTGAAGGTAAAGTTAGTGTAATAAGAAAGCTAACGGTTTTGAAACAAAAATAACTAGAGGTGCATAATGAAATCATGGTAAGGAGTTTTTTTGGAGGGTGACTGACTTCTATTGATGACTTCTGTTAAATTATTTAAATTCTTTTTAATAAGTGATTTTTAAATTATGTCATTTTAATGATGATCCTTAGCAGACAGGAATCAGATGCAGATTTGAGAGACAAGCCATTTTTCCCTGTGAGAAAGGGCTATCATGGAGTTAACTCTTAGGGCTATATTCTGCAAACCTGCCTGTGCCTGGGTCACGCTATTTATGTCTGAAGAGGACAGAGCTCACATAACTTGTGTGTTAATCCCAGAGCAGTGGCTAAGAAACAGGCCTGAGTTTCCAGTCTCCCCTCATGTTCCACCTGTGTCTCGCTTTAGTACTTCACTCTGTTCCTGATGGACTGTGTTTCACCATGCTGGAAACCTCCTCTGGAGGATGACGAACCAGTGACTAGTGTCTTTAGAAGCGTGTGAAACCCAGTTTATGGGCCTGCTGGTTGGTCTGCAGGGCCTCACAGGGGGAACAGCTGCTGACAGGACTGTATTTTGCTGTGCTTTAGGTAAGATTATAGTCGGGTTGGAGACCTGTGACTATAACATAAAATGGTTATGTTTCATTTTGGTAGTTTAGAAAGCGTCCTTAACTGAGAAATATGTCTAATGTTTGTATGTATCCCTTGCTTCTTTATAAGCTTCTGAGGGAAGGCAGAGAAGAATTGACAACTACTTGTAAGAAACAAATTTCACAAAGAGCGTCTTCCATCCCTACACGCCTTTTCTCTGCTTTTCGTTCCCGTTTGCTATCGAACTAGGTTTGTTGTATGTGCAGAGCAGGTGTATTGCTTTGGCTGATGATTGTCCAGCTTGCTTCTGTCACTAAAAGAAGTGTTCCCATCCAAGAAACCATCTTCCAGTTTTCCTTTATGACTTACACTTTCTGGTTTTAAAGATTCTCAAGTTTTCTTGCACTTCTGTGATAGATAACGATTTCTTCTTGTTTCCCCAGAATTAAAAGGAATATGCTTCCATTTACCCCTTGTCCAGCACCTGAAGGGTTTTTAGTTCTTAGGAGGCACAGGGCTCTAAGTTCACCTCTTCAATCATTTAAGCAGTTTTAAAAATTTTTATAGCTCCTGGACTGAAGAATGTTCCCTTCAGTACCTGGATTGGTCATGGATGAAGAAGCTGTAAAGTTTCTGTGGCAAGGAGTGCTTACAGGCCAGTATACAATCAGGAATGATGTGAGGTCAGTTTGTGGTCACTGAATCCATGACCATTAGCATCCTGACTTTAAGTCGGTATGTGCATCTAAACACCTTGTGTGCTGTCATGAAGTCAGTGTGCAATGTAAATAGGCTCACTGAGTCGCAACAGGAATTCTCATGATTCAGTCAAGAACTGCTTCAGTGGTAACAGGGTGGAAACTTTGCCCAAGAGTGTAAGAAAATAGGATTGATTGGTCTCTTGAGGATGCTTTTACACAATTGAAATCACACAAGCAAGAACGGCAAATTCTAACAGCCTTCCATGAGCTCTTAGGATTTCTTTGAGAACGTACTGTGTAACTCATAGCTTTTATACTAACATGCCGTAGGTAAAAATAATTAATTACATCTATTTTTTAAAACAGTAATGTCCTCTTGTATACCATGGAGTATCTCAAACTTCTCTTAATTTTTATTAAGGTGGAAAACTTGATAGGAAGAGACAAGGAGGTGACTTTGAGAGGTTGCAGTAGAAGTGAGTTGTGTGGAGTACTCCTGAGGAGGAGGACTTAAGTGTTTTTACCATGGAATTAGAAAAGAACAGCGATGTTAAGAGCAAAAGAAGATGCTTCAATCAGAGCTCCCATCTTTTTTCTTATTTGGATGAAGCTGAGCACATACTCGTCAGAGATGTTGCAGCAGGAGCTAACCACTCTGGCTTTGGCCAGGCACGTTCTGCCAGTGTTTCAGAATTAAAGTTGTCAGAAGAAAGCTTACCTTATTTAAGTTCATCTTTAGATGCAGATATTGAAATGTATAATAAAGAGAGAATGACAATTGGCTGTGCGCGGGTAGATGAAAGCAAGAAAGAAGCTGATGTGTTGGGAAGGACATGTGACAATACGCACTGTAACTGCGGGGTTTGTGATGATTTCAGACAAAGCCATTTAGGTGAAGATTCACAGCTGGAGTATCTCAGTGCTCACGAGCAAGATTTTGATGATAGGAATAGCTCAAGTGAGTTTTCTGAGCAAAAGGAAACCACAGGAATCGAAACCTTAAAGGTGATAGATCCCGTTCATGAAGTTCCAGGGGGTGGAGTCACACAGGAACAAAATCTCATTCACCTGTCAGAAGATTGTTCTCCTTCTCCTGAGTGTGGTGTAGGTGACCAGACCTGCCCTGAAGCAGCTGTGCCAGATCTTCCCCACCTGCTTCAGGACTCACTGCCTCTGCCATATTGTGATAGGATGACTTGTGATCATCAGGAAGAGCAAACAGAGTACCATAGTGTTGTTTGTGGAAGTATACTTGAAAGTCATTCTTGGGGAAGTAAAGAAAGGGTCTTTCTAAGTCTGCTTGTATGTGACAGTTTAGAAAATGGAGAGGTGAAAGGCATACCACTGACTGATGGCCCACTGGCACCCCAAATTGCTACAAGTGAAGAGTTGTCTGAAGAGAGTGACAGACACATTCACAGCAAATCAGTGAAGCAAGACAATCCGTTACTGTCAAGAAGGCAAAGGGCCCTTGTGGAAGCCGTGCAACTTTACAAATGTGCAGGGAACGCTGTTTTCTGCAGTTGTGAAGAATCTGGTCCGTGCGCCTGTGGTTCCAGCTGCATTGGCTGCACTGCAAAGGCTGTTGAAACCCAATTTCCAGTCTCTGAAATTCTCGCTAGCAAGAATCCCTTTTTTGGGGTGCAAGTTGCAGATGAATCCTCCTCAGGAAATACTAGCTGTCTGAACTTGGAGCATCGTGAAAACTCAAAAAACGTTAGCAGTAAGGTTAACCAGGCTGTTGATGCGTGTTCTGATTTTAGAGCTTGCTTTACAACAAGCAGAAGTACCAGCACTCAGGTTTGTCTCTCATCCAGGGCTGTTAATACAGAGCTAACTATGAACAAATACCGACCCATGGGATGGCGCCATGAAACCCGTGCAGATGTTGCTTGCAATACAGACTGGTCATGTGCAGCTGGTAGTACAGAGGAAATTTGGTCGCAGCTTACTGACACGCTGGAAAAACACTCAGATGGCCATACTGCAACAGCTGAAAGGAGTTCACAAATTCGGGTAATTTAAAAAATAAAACCACAACCAAACAATTTTGATGTATAGAACTTTTTTTAACTTAAGTTGCTCAGAACATGGCTATAGAAATGTTAATCTGTAATTTTTTAAAATGTTTTTTTGTTTAGGAACAACAGGAATCAAAAAATGAGCTTTGTAGCAGCAATTTGAAGATAAGCACTGACAGGTGGGTCATGAATTGTTCTTGGTTTGGAATTCTAGGTGCTGGATAAGATTATTTTTTTGTGATTGAAAGGTGGTCCGTCCCTTAGCAAAACCAATGGTATTAAAAGATTGCTGGGGAGCAGCTCCTGCTCTGGAGGATAGGGCTGCCTTTCAGAGGGACCTGGATAAGTGAGAAGGATGAGCTGAAAACCTCCTGAAGTTGAACAAAGACCCCAGCAGACTTGGTCTGCAGCTGCAGACTGGCCAAGAACAAGTTGAGTGCAAGTCAGCAGTGCTCCCATATGGCAAAGAAGGGAAACCAATCCTGAGGCTGCATTAGCAAGAGTGCAGCTGGCAGATGGAGGGAAGTGTTGATTCTTTGCAGTTTTGTGCTTGTGAGGTTGCATCTGGAAAGGTATCTCCAGTTGTGAGCCTTGTAGTATAAGGAGATTGGCAGACTGGGGAAGGCCCGCCAGAGGGCCACAGAGATGGTGAGGGGAGCTGGTGGAGCACCTGATGTGTGGGGAGAGCTGAGGGAACTGGGTTTGTTCAGCCTGGAGAAGGGAAGGCTGGGGAGGTGGGGAACCTCCCTGCAGTTCTTGGCAATCTGCTGGTTGCAGAGAAGGCTGTGTCAAATTGTTTGCGGAGGTGTGTTTCAAAAGGGCAAGAGCCAGCAGTTAGTGGGGGGAATTCTAAGTGGGTGTGAGAAAAAGTTTCTTACAGTGAGAGTAGTATTGCAGAGATGGTACTGTCTCGTTTCTTGGAGACTTCAAACAAACAAACAAAGCAACAAAAAATCTGGACTGGTTGGTTTTGAAGTAAGCCCCACTTTGAACAGAGGTTTGTGCTGCAGACCTTCAGAGATCCTTTCCAACCTGAATTATTCTGTGACGTGGAAACAAAGTAAGTGCGTGTGTAGAACAACAGAGTTGCTAAGTTTCTTTTTGTTCTTACGACTGCACTTTTTGGATAGATATTATTACAGTGCTCTTGCAGTTCGCACCTCTCAGGCTGATTATAGGGGAACAGCTACTGTAAGACATCATTTTGTCTGTGTAGTAAATAGGAGGAACTGATGTAATTTTTCCTTTTTTCCTTAAATTGTATCAGAAATAGCTTCTGGAAGGCTGCTTGTTTCAAAATAAAACATACTGAACTTAAAATACTGATTCAAGAGCTTCAAGGTTTTTTGGTTTTTTGTTTTTTTTTTTAAAAGGCCGGTCTACCTTGACAAACAAGCTGTGAAGAATTCTGCATCAAGCTGCTGTCAAAAGATACTCCAGAGAGCAATTGAAGCAGAATTGCAGATTCTAAACATTCATTATCAGATGTGCTATCAGCACTGCTTGAAGATTTACAGACTGGCTTTGGAGGAAAACACAAGCTTTAGCAGGCATGTACTTTAATATCCTTTGAAATGGATAACTTGGTTAAAAGGCATTAATTGCTAAATGTTACTGATGTAGTCTATCCATAGCTTATAATAGTGTTTATAGTTAATGGTGTTGTCCAAAAGAGTTTACATTCTCATAACTGCCAAGTTTTATTTTCAGTCTAAAATTTTCTGTAGCATTCACAAACCCAGCAAAATACAGTTTGTTTCCAGGAATGTCTTTCTGTGCAGGAGGAAAAGTACAGAAGGAATAGTACAGGATTGGACAGGATGCACAGTGGGGGAGCTGGGGAGGGGGTGGTAAAGGAGAAAGAGGAGGTGCAGAATTGTCAAGAGGTGAGGCAGGAAGGGGGTAACAATTGCAGAGTCTCTAGCTGATAAAGCATATGCACTGTAACAAACCTGGAATTCAACCAAGAAGTGCTGGCTCAGAATGCTTTGCTGTGCTATGGTTAGCTATTGAACCTCATTGCTATAGTATCTGCGTCATCACTTGGAGAGGGTTTGGGAGAGCAGGTCGCGATGCTGTGAAACAGAGGATGGCTCTGGAGAGCTGCTGCGCATGTTAGGAGTGAGCTCGTGTTCTTGCGTGATGTGGAGTAAACGTTTGGGCAAATCTGGAAGTGGTAAAATAAACGAAATGTCTGTCTAAGTTGATCTTATTTTCTGATGCATATTTTAACAGATGTAGTGGAAATGATGGATTAGGTTCATCTCTCATGTTGGTTTTGGAAGAGCTAAAGAAGCATTACAACAGTATGAGAATGAAAATAAAATTGAGTGTACCTTTAAAAGCACTTCCACCGCTATCAGTTGAGATGAAGTTGTTCGAAATATCTTCTTTTTATGTCCCCTGCAAGGTAATTTCTTAATTGCTTTTTGTTTTTAATATAAATAGTTTTTTTTAGAAAATAAAGACGAATCTTTTCTTTTTTGACAGCTGTTCAGAGAGGATCTTTGCTATGAGTAAGTAGTCCTCATTTGTAGTATTTATTAGAGTTCAAAATAATGAGAAGTGACTTTAAAAGATGTTAAACTCAGAATTTCTTTCAGGGTGTGTCTTGTTGCTTCGAATTCTTTAGTTACAAGACTAGCATAGCACTTTGGGTACAGTGATTTTATTTTAAGGAAATTTTTACTCTGTAATGTTCTAGTATGCAAACAATGGAGTTGTATTTTTACTGTCTTTACAGCCAAAGTTTTCAATTTATGGATAGTTTTCCTGTTTCCCTACTTTCACTACTAAAAGCTTTGTTTCTAATATTAGTGCTGTCTTAAAAAAAAACAAAAACAAAAACAAAACAAAAAAAACCACCAAAACACTGAAACCACAAAAAAACCACCAAAACACAAGGATGTTGCTGCCGACAAAGATAATATTAGACATATAAGCAAGTGTCCTGCTAAGATTATCATTCAGTTATGAAGAATGATAGAAAGATAACTTCATATTTCAGGCAGACATATAGTACTGCATGTTCAGGAACCTTGTGCAGTTCTTTTATGTAAGTGGAGATTAGAACAAATTTGGCAATAGGTTTTTGTTGTATCAGGTAAACAGCTACAGATCTTTTCAAATTTCTTTTAAGTATTAGTAAAATGAACCAAAAATTGCACAGATGTTTTGATATCTTTACGATTTGAAATATCACACAGTCATCTAGGTAGAAAGGAAAAACAACCTATTGTAAACCTAGAACATAACTTTAGGTTTGAGTTTGCAACCAATGCTTTTATAAAATACAGGTCTCAAAACCCCTTGGGTTCTCATTTTAAGCTAAAATTTACTGAACGCACATTCTTTATTTTACTGTGAGCTTTTGGAAATATTTAAATTAATATTTCACAGTACGCGATATCATTGTAGAGTTTAAAATTGTTGTGCCGTATTTTGTACGAAAGTCTTGGATCTGTTTTAGTTCTGATTCAGGCCTGAGAAACGCTGACTTGGAAGCACCAAAACTGCAAGAATGGAAAACTTCTGTCAACATGGTAGGGACTTCTTCATTACTGAATTTCCTAGACATTATGTTGTGAAGTATGGTCTTCTTTTAGATATGTGCAAATAGAATCACAGTCTTCAGTTCTCAGACCGGGATTCTTTGCCAGTAATTGCAAATGTAGCTGATGCAACCAAAATTTTGATCGTCCTTTCAAAATAAAATAGGTTGGGGGTTCTTGAAGACAATCAGTAGGTTAACTTTTTAAAATTTACCTGTTTAATCATTTAATATTCTGAAGCTCAGAAAAATAGTGTATAATCATGTGCAAGTGCTATGACATAACTGAAACGTGTTTGTAGGACAATCCACAGACAGTATGTGTAACTGGCAGTCAGCCAAGTGACTCTACTTCCTCCACGACACTTGAAGAACAGCATAAACATAAGGATGTGGAATGTGGTAAGCAATCTGCTTCTAGTACAAATACTACATTATTTCTTAGTTAAGTTGTTGGAAAATAAAACAAGCCCTGTGTAAAACATATGTATGGATACCTATCTGTCCTTTCTCTGGTGGAATGGTTAATCTTATATGAGCTCTATATTACACTTTACCTCTTGAAAAAGAATGTCGCTACTTAAATCAGAAGTGAAAACTAGTACGTTTCACCTTTTTGTAATATAGTACCAAGTCATGTAGGTAGCTGGAATCCTCTTAAGCACGGAAATTTTATATTCATTCATATGGCATACCACAGTCTGAATTTTAACACACTAGAATTTATTTCAACTGTCAAGGCTGTGCAGAAAATGAAGAAGGGAATGAATATTGGTTTGATGCTAAAGAGGACATGACAGTAGCAGATTTTTCAGTAATAGCTGAAGAAACAAAAAAGCAACATGAAAAACAAGACACAGTTAATACGAAAGGTGAGATCATGTGCTCTATGCTGCCATACCTAATAATGGTGTTTGTTTATTATTCAAGTATTCTTGTTCCTTCTACAAGCATAAGTAAACATGGAAAAAATGCTAGCTGGGTTTTCAGACATATTTTTTCTTTGACTCACAGTGAATGCTTGCACAGCTACTCGGCTCTTTTCATCCATGTTTTTCCTTGAAAACTTTACCTGCAGTGGTTAAACTCAATTTAGTAAATGTCCAGCCTATCATGTAGCTGGAAATCTTTCTCTTTTTCTCTTCCTTTTCTTTCTGCTTCCTTAAGAGTTAGCTGGGAGTGGTCTGTGTTTGGAGACTTGGGTCCCAGTGGGGGGTATGGTTAGAAGTCCCAGTGTGTTGAAAGCAAAGAGCTTGTGTGCTCTGTGGTGGGTTCTCACAGTGCACTTTTAGCACTAGTTGGTACCTGTTGGTTCAGACCAGTGTGTTCTGAGGTTTTACCTCTTCTGCCTCTTCAAACCTCAGGAAATACTCAGGGAAAAGATATTTCACAAACTGAACCGTTCTGCTTCTCAGGATGCTCATTTTCTGTTAGAAGATGCTGTCCATTCTGTTTGGGTTTTTTTAAAGATTTTTCAATCTACGCTTTCCCAGATCTACAGAGGAGATGTTCACTCGAACTGAAACAAGAATAGTTAGTAACACTTAGCTTTCTTACATTTATTATTAGAAATGAAGATAACGGAGGGTGGAAATGAGTGTTCTTTTGTTCGTATTGGTGGCCCAAGTGCCTCAGTGTCAGAGGTATGCCTGATCTTATTTACATAGTAGTAACGTCTTGCCTCTTTTCTGAATTCTTTCATACTATACATTTGCAACCAAACATGCTTCTATTTTGTAGGGTGATTTAAGATCACATTTTCAGAAGTGTCAGATTTCTGATGCTCTTACCTCTGTGGATTCTAGTAACTACAGGTATGTTAATATAAGTTTTACTTGTTTCAGGGTTTTTTTTTCTGTCAAAGTAAGTGAATCATGGGAGAGAGAATTGTAGAATGGTTTGGGCAGGAAGGGACCTTTAAAGGCCATCTAGTCCAACCTCCCTGCAGTGAGCAGGGACATCTTTAGCTGGATCAGGTTGCTCAGAGCCCTGTCCAACCTGACCTCTGGGCTGCGAGCACACATTGCTGGGTCATGCTTGGTTTTTCATCCACCAGCACCCCCAGGTCCTTCTCTGCAGGGCTGCTCTCAATCCATTCATCCCCCAGCCTGTATCTGTGCTTGGCATTGCCCCAACCCAGGTGCAGGACCTTGCACTTGGCCTTGTTGAACTTCACGAGGAGGAGTTGTTCATTAATTTGTTTCAGTAATTAATGCAGGTACAGACAGGTTGGCAAAAACTTGTCATCTTACGAGAAGTTAGAGTTTGAAATTCTCTGAGTTTAATGCAGATACAGTTTGTAATCAAAAAATTAGAATCATCATGTGTTCTTACTGATGGTAATTTAATATGTTTTACTTAGTTTCCTTTTTTTTTTTAATTTTACGCCTTAGATCTGCATTTCTTTCCTTTAAAGACACTAATAAAGCAAAGTTAGCTGTAGAGGAGATGAACCAGAAAACATCTCCTCCTTTCTCCACAAATTCATATGATGCCTATATTTCTCCTGATACGTTGAACTTGAGCAGCTTTACCAAAGTGATGAAGAAACTTCAAGAAATTCATCCAGGGGCTAGCAGGTGAGAGTATTTGGATTTCATTTCTGCCCTGATTTGTAATGGATCCAGTATTCATGGTAACAATGTGCTAAATGTATTGCACAAAATGGGGTGTAAACAGCTACTTTTTTAAATTCATATAGAGACAAAATTGTGGCTGCTTTGCTGGAGGTGAGGAAGAACAACAAAGGTACCCTAAGTGGCTTGTCCCTCAGTTCCATTGTGGAAAGGGCCTCGGTAATTCTAAGGAAGTCGACCCCCAGTTGTGGGTGGAAGAAGCAATGTAAATAAGTGAGTATTCTAGCGTCCGGAAGTACGTTGAAATAAAACCACTGGTATTTATGTAGCTGTATAGCCTGACTAGATTAGTAACTAACTTGATATAAAGCTCTGCAGGAAGTACCTGCATGAATCCACTGAAACTATCGTTTCTAAGGATTGTTAGCTGTTTTGCAGAACATCTGTAAACTGATAGGCTCACTAGCTTTGTGCACTCTATAAAACTTGGCACGCTGGGGTTTTTATTGTGCAGACTGTTTTGTTGATTAACTAAGTGAACGTCATCGTACATATTCTGGACAAAGGTGACACCTAATGGCCAGTCCTTGTGTAGCAGTTCATAAAGAAATGCCAACATAGTCAACTTTGGTTTAAAAATTGATGTTTTCTGTCTGATGTATGAGTTTCAGTTCTGGACTAGAAATCTGACAGATGAAGATTGTATGTCTGTTCGTTTATTCATGTTAAAAGACATCTTGCATGATGACACAGCACTGGACACAGCAGGAAGCTGCAGCCAGCTGAACATGCTAAAAGCACAGCCCAGAACTCCAGGGATGTGGAGATATAGTCTCCAGTAGGAGACATCCTTGAGTTGGTGCTTGTTTCAGTCTCCTACCAAGCTTTGTATTCTGCTTTGTTTAGGACTGCTAGCAGTGCCACTACCAGGATTCCTGCACTGTCCAATATGTTCTTTGCAATGCTTCAGCTTCACATTTGCCCACAAACAAAATTTTTGCATGATACTTATTCTTCTGTAGTCCTTCTTCCCAAAACTGCACCAAATTCTTAATGCTCTGATTTTGGTCTCGGAGCTCCTGTTTTCAAGCATGTCCAGGAGTCAGTTTGGTTTTAATCGATAACCACCTCTTCCAAGATGAGTAAGTATTTATGCTGATAGTTTTACATATCCAGGTATCTTTCCCACCTGTTGGATGTTGCTTGGCAGACTAAAATCTCCTGGTCAGATGCCTGTGGACATGTTCTGTAGCACGCACGTAAACCAGAACACTGCCTTGACTTGAAGAGCACTGCTCTGTGTGACATACTAGAACTGTAGTAGAGTGATTCTGCTCAGTAAGATGGAGCAGAAGCCTGGGCTACAAAAGCCTCCCTAGATGTGTTAGATATACAAATAGATGCTTATAGGTCATTTGTCTCAGTCCTTGTTCTGCGAGGTAATTACCAGTGACCAGAAAAGTCATTCAGAAGGACTGACTGTAGGTTGGGTTAAATCCACAGAGACATAGGATAGGATTTTACATACAGCGTAAAGAATCTCAACCAGCGTGCATGTTTGGCCAAATTCCTTTTGAAAGGATTAGTGTAATATAAGTTTGTTAGTTTGGCATTTGACTCCCCTGTGAGTTTTTACAGATGCCTCTATGAACCAAAATAAAATTTAGAAAAGTCTTCATATCCACCTACTGACTGACTTCTGCAGGACTACGGATAAGGACATAAACTGATTTAAAAAAAAATAAAATCTTGCCATTGAAAGTATTTTCAATCAGTAAGGTTTCAACAGCCTCAGGGTGTTGTGCTTTCCTTGTCAAGTGATTTTTTTTTTTTTCTTTTTAATAAACGCTGTGTCAGCTCTACAGTCATAATTATTGCTATGATAGTATTTTTTTTCTGCTGCTTTGCTAAAGAGATGATGACGTATAACAATTTTTACTTTCATCCGAGGGAGCTGTGAAATAGCAGAGTCGTTAATAAGTAATGGGGAAAAAGAATTCTCATCTTCCCATTGTAAGAAACAAGTGTGTAATACTTTTATGGAAAGATGACTCTGCTCAAAGCTCATCTATGCTGATTCTGGTATGTGTATGGCTTCAGACTTCCCTGAAGGCCAAGTGTCCACAGAGAAATACCACCTGGGAGTCTTATGTTCTTGCAAGCTGGTGAAACGTCCAGAGTTTTACAGATAATACTTTTATGCCAAGCTGTATTACACAGAATTTAATGTATAACAAATTGAATTCAGCTCTAACGTAAAGCATGATATAATCTTGCTTTTTTCTTTGGCTGCCTTAGCCCAGAGCTGGGCATTCGAATGTTTGTAGGTCTTGTGTATTTGTTAGTTTTGAAGCAGTAACTTCAGTAGAAATGAGAAGTTAGGTTTCGGACTGGAGAATCCTTTTATTCTCATTAGTAAGCGGCTGTCATATTTACCTGAACCAGCACGCTTAACCTTTTTCTGTCTTCTAAACCTAGTGGTAGGCAGCAGTTAACAGGAATCATGATGCTATAAAAGTTACTCAGTGCAGCATTAAAAACAGCAATTTCGTTAAATTTTATCAGTAACAAATGTCCACGCTTGGAAGCTTTCTGTGAATTTAATAATCTGCAGAGTAAAAATTTTGAAACAGACCAATGGAGAGGAGTAACAAAAAAAAAAAAGCCTAACTAAAACAGTGCTTTGAGAAACATAAAGAAATGCATAGAGTCTACATACTCTGAAATCATGATTTGATAACTTAATTCTGGATTAATTGTATTACTAAAAAAAGGACCACCGGATACAATTTGTTGCACAAAGATGATATATTTTAGTTTATTGTAGTAATTTTTTTGATGTGCCTCTCAAAGCAAGGAAACCTTGTTCTTCTGTGTACTTCTGCAGTACATAGGAAAATCAGTACAGCTTCTAGTGGGTTTCTGGGGTGATAAAACTGCTGATGTTCCTTTTATTTCAGTTGGGAGTGTGTACATGCAGAATTTACCTGCTGGGTTTTTTGTGTGTTTTGTTTTTTTCTTTTTAGGTAGATGGCTTTCCAGTTAGGAAGAATTGATCATCTCCCTTTGGAAGATTTTTGCAAATTCGGTACTCCAGCTTATTCTGAGGTTGTTCTGTATTTCTTGTTTGATTTATTTCAGCAGATGTTAATGAAAACTCATGTAGCATCACTGTATGATGTGCTGTCTTATCTGAGAGTGTATAACCTGAAGGTCGGTTTGAGGTGTTTTTCTGTTTATGCAGACATTAAATGATTCTTCCCAGTTTTCTAGTTCCTGTAGTTAATTCAAGCATTTCGGCAGGCTTCTCTAAGGTGGAAAGATCCACTTCAGTGAAGCAAAACTTCTCTAATTCCAGTGGGGCTTTTCTAGGCTGAAGTACACAACCCCCAGTTCTTGCATGACACTTAATTTTAGGCACAGTGGTAGCTGCTAAGATGTTAATAAATAGCCAACATGCTTGTGCTTTCCAGATAATCTGATTCTGAATAGTCCGTAGGAATTCTGTGTATCCTTTGAATACCAGGGAGGCGCGGGGGAGGGCTTCATTTTAGAAAAACCAGGCTTCGGAGCTGGCAGCGCTGGTGGACACGGTTATATAATCCTGTGCTGCAGCAGAGTCATCTCGTGTCCATTTTGACTCAGAAGCGTGTTGCAGCCTGCAGAGCCCTGATACGGCCAAAATTTCCTTCAGGATGAAGCCTAGATTTTAATATTTTTTTTTTTCCAGAACATGGCATTTTGTTGTCTCATATCCCACTTCTGTTGCTGCAAGCAGAGGATGGGCTTCTAAATTGTCTTTGTGTCCCATGGCCTCCTGTAGTGGGAAGCACACCCTCCCTGAGACTTTTTGTTTGGGTTGATACAGGGGGGAGGAGGAAAGCTGGGAGTATCCAGTCTTTCATGTTTGCTGTCGTTACAGTACAGAAGAGGTCTAGAGTTTAAATCCTCTTCTGGTAAATGAAGGGAAGGCAGCTTAGGTGTACGTGTCTGGTCAGGGGGTGAGGAGAATTATCCTTGATTGACATGGACAGGCCCACGCCGCAATACTGCACAACAAGACAGTGCATCGCTGTTGTCCATCTCTGTCTCTTTGTTGTACTTCGTTCCAGATCCTGGCTGTATTTGCAACTTTTCTTACCTGTGAATAAAAGTTCAAATTCCTTCTCCAAAAGGTTGTGCTGGTGTTTTGCTGTTTTCAGAGCTCATCCGTTCCCTCGCCTCTTAGCAGAACTCCTGTAGGTAATGCTTTCAGAACCCCAGCCTTGTCTTCGACTGCCAGCGTTGTAAACTTGGTCCTGAAGCTGCAGGTGAGGCCTCAACTTTGATACGAACAGGGAAGAAACCAAGATGAAAGCAGGCATAGGCTTTGCTCTTTATTATTAATAGTAAATGATGCCCTTTGTGATTCTGCAATTAGGTAGGGTTCTTTAATAGTTTGGAACTGGCTTTCTGGCACGTTTCATCAGGAAAGTAGAAATGGGTGCGATGTGAAACACTCAACTTAGCATGCTGTGGGTTTTTTCATTCTGCTTTTCTTGTTTTTCTCCCTCCCTCTTAAAATGTGAGTGAACTGATTCGTGGGACAGTGACCTCCCTCGCTCGCTGGCATGATACGCTCCTAATTGCATATCCTAATCCTAGACTCCTGAAAAGCCCGTGTTCAGCTGAGGCAAAAATTCACCTACCAGCTCTAGGTGGAGCTGTGCTAGCTCGGTAGCGATTTCCCACTCAGTTAAATGTTTTGCGGCTTTTTTTTTCTTTATTTTATTTCCCTCCTAAGATTACATTTCATCCTCTACGTCCGTACCCACACACATCCCGGGAAGCAGAGCTCCGGAGGAGGATCCCTTCCCGTGGGCACCCACCGCCCCCGAGGAGGCAGCACCCCACAGGCGGGCTGGCTGCGCGGCGGTGGCGGCGATGGCTCTGCTCCCTCGGCGGTTCCTCTGCTTCCTGCTGGGTAAGTCGGCGTCTCCGGGCCTCCCACCACAGCAAACTTTCCTGCCCGGTACCGGCA